CTTTTTTCCAACTTCTTGCCATTTGTCTTCAACGTTTGTTGCCAAGTCAGTGGCGGTGGCAACTTCAGAAGACTCTTCTTGTTGATCCTTCTTGTTCTTCTTGGTTGAAGATGGACTCTTTCTGCCCAATGTTTTCTCAGTTTTCTTGAGTTCCTCATGAAGTCTTTCCAACAAATAAGTCAAAAATTCATGAGCATCATGTTGAGTACCCAAGAGGAAGGAGTCTTCCAAGTTTGTGGAAGATTGTTGAACATAGTCCACAATATAGGAAGGAGTTAACTTTTCATAAGAAGCATTAATAAAGTATTTTCTTTCTTTTTGTTCTCCATTTTGAGAACGAGCACCTTTCATGACTTGGAATTCATTGACCAAACGTGCCATCTTATTTGTGAGCGGATATTCATCATTGTCAAGTGAAAGCTTTCCAAGTCTCTTCATTAAATGATAAAAGTGAGGAAGGCTGACCAAGCTTTGCAAAACTGCATTCATATAACAAGAATTGTTAATGTTGGTCATACCTCTTGGTTGAATAAAGACACCAACTTCATCCAACAAATGTTGGTCAACTTCAACCTCTGTGGATCTGAGAATATTCTTTCCAGACTCGAAATCCTTCTGTGGTTTGGAACTTATTTGCTTGGTACCATTGATGTCGGAAGAGGATGGTTTCTTAGTAGCAACCACATTCTTCTTATCTTGTTTCTTCTTGTTGTTGGTTGAATTATCAGCAGCTCCGCTAGAACTGGTGGCATCTTGAGATGCGACATTGGCCGTTGGTTTCAAAAGGGAAGCCCAATCACTGAGGGCAGCACTAGTAGTAGAAGCCTCAGCAGCAGGTGAAGCGAAAACTTTCACTTGTGCAGGCTGAATGACAGTTTCTGTTGTTGTTGGCTTTTCTTCCTTCTTGACTACTTCCTTATTGTTGCTGCTAGAGTTGTTGTTGTTATTCTTCTTCTTTTCTCCATTTTCGAAATTCTTCTTTGGCTTTCTCTGGAATTGTCTTCCT